TGAAATGGGTTTCAGACAAACCAACTCGCGTATCTTGCGTTGGTTTTCACGAATTTACCGAACCCTTATAGCCAAAGATTCTTAAATAGTATATGTCTACAAGACAAGATTATCATCATGTTCTTATTTAAGAGTCAGGCTTTCGTCGGTGTAGCTTCTTCAATTCTTCACAATCCACAGCCAGCTCCTTGACCTTTTTATACCAACTCACTTTGACGTTCATCTCACTCAGACTTCTTGTTCTTCCTCTCTTTCTTTTTCCTTTTATTCACCATTCTATTATTAGACAAGATTACCTGTTTTAATTTCAAAGTTGCCATCTCCCTCAACGGCGATCACGGCGAGTTTGCCGCCCAGAGTGTATTTACCCACGGCGTCGATGGGGCACTCGATCACAAATTCCAAGTTCTTTTTATCTGAGAGCCTGCAGATATTAGACGTCTGTAGAAGTAATTTTAATAATCTTGGTACAGTGGAGTCTATAGTGGAGTAGATAGGTCTCAATCTCTCGAAAAAAAGACTGAAGCCAAAACGAAAGTTCCCAAAATGAATCTTGATTTGTGGAAAAACTGGTGAAGCATAATCTATTCCAGTCTAGTTTAAATATTACTGTAATTAATAAAGTAAGAGCTATGATAAAGAAGGAATACCAACAAATGGAAATACTTGACTCATTCCTGGATTTAATGGTGTTACTAAATTTCTGTGGCAATTTATATATTAAATCATGTTTCACGATAATATACTTGAGTAGACAATAGAAATAGCCACTAAAATTGAGCAGAAAACTCTAAACCTGAGAAAAACCGACTTACGAAGCAGAAATGAACTTGCACTGCGCCAATCCCACGACCTTCATATCTTTAAATTGTAGTTTCAAGTCGCCGTTATCACCGTTGACATCGTCAATGATGAGAGGGTCTACTGGAGGGACGCCCAGGTCGGGGATTCCGGCAGAAAAGTACGGGACGGCGGCTTGCGCTGCCTTTACCAAGCATTCATTGTCACCGATTTTGCAGGGAGTTATGAAGGGCGCTGAAAATACATATACAAATAAATAAATTTTGTAAATGATAAATATGTGGAAATAATTATAATACAAAGGCAAAGCTTGTTTATTTGAGTAACTCCTAGAGATTCTTACTCATTATTTTCAGGGGAATCTGCGTTTCTAATAATCTAGTGTTTATTCGATGTGACGATTTAAAATCTCTAGCTACTAGGAACGGATGTGTCGTCCAATTTTAACTACGACACATACACGCAGTTGCTTCAGTTGAACCAAGTACAAGTTCGGCCGTGCATAAAGTACTGTTGCTACCTATGGGATGGTTCTGCTAAATACCAACTGGCCATCTTGGATTTAGTTCAAAAGCATACAGGCTTATAGGTGCTTATTGGATTTAGGAGAGGCGAAGCTCCAGAGCCTTGAACACTGCCGTAAATTTGCGAGCTTATTCGATATTCTGCAGGAGAATGTACGATGGAATTACATGATTTTATTTCCGCCATCCCTTTCCATCACCAAGAAACCATATAGCCATGCTGGGGTTCCACCCTCTTTTGCGGATATTCCAAGGATTCGCTCGAAGCTTGACGCTTTCACATTAATATGGCGAACGGACATGGTGTGGAATTCCTTGCCTGCAGACTTATTCCCTGGATGCTAGAACTTGGGCCTTTTAGCCCAAGGTGAGAGTGAACAGGTATTATTTAGATGTGAATGGACCATCGAAGTTATCGTCAGTTTTCACTAGGTAAGATGGAGGGCAAAGGCGTACTTATGTTTTTGTAAAAAAAGTTACCTAAATAGTAAAGATATTTTTAATTTTTTATATTTTGAAATAGAGAAGAAGATTGATGAAAATCGTTATAGTCAAATGTAGCATAAAATTTGTAAAAAAATGGAACGATGCTGAGCTAATGTTTCTTGTTAAATTATTACCTGCTGAATTTAAGTCTTCATCTTCTTTAAATACACAATATCCAAAATCAAGTATCGAAACACATTAGAACACAAATAATATGATAGATTAATACTCGTAGACTTATAAAATAAATAATGCGTGCAAAGTCAAAGCTATTGAATTAGACTTATAAGTAATACCAAACAAATCCCACCTGCAGCCGACTGAGAACCTATCACATAACAACTGAGAACGCACAATATTACTTTATACATTTTATATTTTATCTTCGTACAATGCTCAAATACAATTTAGTGAAGATGTACAAGACACTGAAGATGAACTTGTCTATATGCTCACTGAATCTCAAAATAAAGTATTTGTTTTATATAAGTACTTGTGACAAGGTCATTTTTCTTCATTTTATTTTTAAGCACGACTTAATACGTCTGAATTATTCCTGATATGATCTTTATTTTACGGCCTATGTATAGTGATCCACGACATACTGGCCTGTATGAATGAGTGTTGTTAACATTTCAATTTCCTTTTGTTTAAAATGAAGGTTCCTCTGCCTTACCTATATACTGTTTTTATTATTTTTTTTAAGATAAGTAAATTTAAATAGAAGAAATTACTTTAGTAGTTCTTCTTTATAAATATCGCACAAGTGCAGTATTTCATATATTCAGTTCATGTAATTTCTTTCCTATTGTTAGTAATTTGTCTACTTGTTTTTAGTTCAATTTTAAATTATATTTTATAATTTTAGTGTTAACTGACATTAGTATTTTAGGGCTATCTAATTTTATAAAAGCGGTTTCAACCCACCATTACAGCAGGCGAGCTGTGATATATGATGAGCTGGATGCGTTCATCTTATATTTATAATAATTAATTTGTTTTGTTTTGTTCTGTATAAGTTTTGTATATTGTAAATTTTTGTACGCGGCCTTTTTATGCTTTCTGTAAGTTATAATAATTTATACATTTCTGAACTCTGCTTTCAGTAAAATATTGCTACAAACCATTTTACAAGTACTGACTCTGACTTATCATGGCTATACGAGGATCTTTGACAATCTGGTAGAGTTCATTGTATACCGGCCTTAAAATTGTTTAATTCCAAAAAGAATACAAAAACGTTGTCTTATTATTACAATTACTGACGAACATGCTTGTTTAATTGAATTCATATGCATGTTTTTCATAATTATGTTACATATATCAGACGGCCATTGTATTTAAATCCGTATTTTTTATGTCAACGAAAAAAATCGAACAGGATTAACAAGGTCCGTACGTACCAAAACGCAACGTTCGGGATGTTTAAAAGTATTAACAGTCTATAACTACCTCAAATGGCTTTGGTTGATTCCGCATAGAAGTGAAAGTATCGAAACAATCACTTTGGAAAAACTATATATAAAAAAAAAAAATAAAAAAAATTGCGTATATACGCATTGATTACGATATGGTGTGAAAACACGATTCCTAAAAAATCCCACGTTAGATAAAACACAAACTTACCTCGAAAATATACAAGAAAACCGTTGTATTCAATAGGTACGTTACATAGACCATTTTTTTATATCAACTGAACTAAATAGGCCACTTATACTATGCGATATAAGGACATCAAATGGCTTTAATTTCGTTTGTGAACAAATAAATTCTGAAATAAAGCCAGCGTCCCTGCCGTTCGACCTAAGCAAAATAAACCGTATTAGTACGGGAAAGTTTTGAATTCGAGCTGATGTAGTTTTATCGACTCTAAGGAATGTGCGGGCTTAAAAGTATTGAATGTATGGAGAAACCGCTGCGAATGGAGGATGCGAATGGAGGTTCATGGTCCTGGCTAACCCATTGGGAGACGGTGTGATGGTTTGTATGTAGAAGCTGTAGAACAATGTCAAACAAGTACACAAAAAGTGAAGAGATTGCAGTATATATTCATAAAATATTTTGTGACTTGACTACATAATACATAAATGTGACTGTGACTTGACTACTAATACATAAATATCTAGTCTTCCCATCGTGTCATTGCTACTTTTATTTCAGAACTGTATTGACTTTGAACAGTATGTTGCCACTTTGACTGCGTTATTCGTGGCTGTGAAGAGATCTTCTCTCGTACATGTATTAGGGTACAGCAGCACGTGCTGCATGGAGTGTGTTGGGGCACCGAAGTCACAATGGGTTAGACTAGCGTCCCGAAATTTCCTTTTACGAATCTTGTCTCTGCAGCGATTTACCTGAGTGCGAAGTCAATTCAAAGATTTCCATACAGTCCACAGTAGATCGTAATGTCGAGGTATTTGCTTTTGACGGAGGACAAAAATAACGCACACACTCAACATAGCCCCGCACTAGGGAAACCCTGTGTCGCGGGTGCCATGGACACACATACAGACAACCACAAATTACACCCAAACTCACGAGAGAAATAAATCGACTCATCCGAAGAACAGAATCCGGTGTGATTATATAGCGAAAAGAGAATAAGTACGTTACGGGGTAATTTTCTTATTCAAACTAAGGCCCACGTAAAGGTGTTTTGAGAATTTATATATCTTATTTCATTTCGGAAATATAAAATCGAGGAACGGTCGATCTGACATCCATAGCGAGGAAGAACGAACGAAATGTACTATGTCCTGAGAACAAGTAGTTTTGCATATAGATTTTTTTTCTACGGATGACTCGAAATGTAGACCATATAAATATTATTCGGCCCGGGAATTGAACCTGGGACCTCTGCGTGATAGTCCGACATGGCAACCGTTCGGCCACGGATGTAGTTAAGATGAAACCAGGTTTTGTGTACACCACAGTGCACACCTAGTGGTAGTCATATGGTTACTCGTAGGCGTAGTGGCGCGCATAATTTTACACCTAGGCATCGTAAACTATACATTAAATAAAACTACAATAGAAATAATATTTAATTGTTATATTTATTTTTAAATACATAACATGACAGTTATGAAACTTTTAACACTGTCAAACCTTATATTATTTTTGACTGCCTCCATGGTCGAACCGGTCCCACGCTTAGCTGCCATGCAGAGGTCCCGGATTCGTTTCCCGGGTTTTTTTGTCGCCGGGAATTTGTAGTTGTCTATGTATGTGTCCATGGCAACCGCGTCTTCCTAGTGCGGGGCTATAAGTGTGTGCGTTATTTTTTTTGTACATAATATGTGCTCAAACTGGAACGACTTTTTGTTCAAATTGAATTAAGTAGTTTGTTGTTGACTCATACAATATGATAGTTGTGTAGGTTTTTTTCCTATAAGGAATTTATTATACTTCACACGGGAATTTTTTATCACCTTGAAAATTTGGGCCTTTTTGGTCGAAAATTATGAAATGTCATATTGAAACCATATGAGAAGCTAATAAAACGATGCTTTTCGTTCGATTAGCTAAATTATACTTCATTTTTTAAGCGTTAGATAGAAGAAAATTTTAAGTCCTTCATTAGGCATTTCATTCCGTCATTTTGTAAGCAAAGCAATTTAATAAATATGCTAAAATGAAATTCTTAACTAAAGCCACTAAATTGAGGTATTAATGGTTATTTTACGTATTCACTAAAGATTAAACGACTTTTTCTAATTTTATTTGAAATATTTACACTATAAAATACTTAAAGAAACTGAGGTTACGAACATTAAACGGAAAGTTTTTATAAAAGAATATAAATGTTGTCGTGTCATTTATATAAGGCATTCAATGTCAAATTATCACGATGTTTTTTTCATTTACTGTAATTTGTCTGAGGAAAAAGATTTATTATCACTGTTTCTTTGTTTACGTTTTTTCTAATACCAAAAAATAACGAAGTATAGGATGGGGAAATACGAAACAACAATCGTTTCAGATGCGTTTCGTTAGAAACGCTTTCTATTTGCCGTTGGGAAAATTCGGTCGAAAATCGTGATTTACCACGAATATTTGCGGAAATTCTACAATGAAACATCAAATAGCTCACATACTAACATTTGGCTCTAATTCGCCAGTTGCAAGGTTATGTAGGATAGTCTATAATTATAGTGGCAATCAATATTCACCATGACTCTCAGGATTCGTAAAAAAAAATATAATCAATTAACTTCAGTCAAATAATTCAATGGTAAAAGTAGCGTACGCATCAATTTATAATTATATTGTTATTTGTCAAAAGTGTAAGTGTTAGGTTTTCTAATTTTAGTTAAAAAAAAATTGTTATATTTCAGTGCATGTTGTGTTTACCTCTAAGCGCTTGTGGCAATTACATCGTTTGTAAAGATACGATAAGATATAATAAGTAATATTGTACACAATGTTGTTAAACCTAAGAAATAAATAAGTAAATAAATAAATAAATAAATAAATAAATAAATAAATAAATAAATAAATAAATAAATAAATAAATAAATAAATAAATAAATAAATAAATAAATAAATAAATAAATAAATAAATAA